TCACAATCTCGTCAAACTTCAAATGGCACTGCCGCGTTGCCTGCTTGAGGCCATATAAGGATTTATTTAACTTACACACCAAGTTTTCTTTTTTCTTCACAACAAAACCGTTAGGTTTTCTCATGCAAACCATTTCCAAAAGATCTCCATTCAGAAAAGCCATCTTAACATCCATTTGATAAAGTTCCAAATTATAATGCGACACAAGTGCCATGATGATTAGAAAGAATCTTTGGACGAAACAGATGAGATGTATCATTATAATCAATGTCATCTCGTTGAATGAACCATTTTGCAACCAATCTCGCATTCTTTCGTTCAACATTCCCTTTTGAATCCAATTTACTTTTGAAGAACCACTTGTTGTCTATGGCTTTAGCATTCAAAGGAAGTTTAACAAGTTCCCAAACTTTATTCATTCCATAGACAACGCATTCATAATTATTAACTGTTATTATCCGCACGTTTTATGAAACTATTCTTATTACTCCTGATAAATTGATTTATAAATTTGTCAAACGAAAGTTATATATTTTATACGTATGTCCTTTCTCAACACATTTCTTTAAATATGGATTTTAAATTTTTTTAAAATGATAAATATTTCTCAGAGTAAGATCATCCAATGGTTTATGCTAGATAAACATAAAAGGCATTGTATAAGAAATGCTCAATTATATTTGTAGATGGAACTTCAATAGCACCTTAACCCATAGTGAAGCTGTGAGTATTATGTTGATGCATAACTTCCATACCTAAGTTAACATAGCTAATCATATCAAAGTATTAATTACACGATGTTGACCATCAACCACAAATTGGACGAAATTTATATTACAAATATAAAGTGTCTTCAGCCCAATGGAGACTATTGAACGAATTTCATTTAATGATTATATTATCATGTACACACCAAATGCATAGGGTATGTTTTTGTGAAAATCTCATATAATCATGTAGCATATTTTTGGTCACAATGTGTAACTTTCGTGACCTTTAGTAGATTAGCAAATATGTATAGAAATGGGTCTAGCTACTAACCATCCAAGACTATAAAAGGTGGAGTTTAATTTTTTTAAAAAAATATATTACCGAAAAAAAATAAAAAAAATCCCACAATACACTAGA